TCCTCTGCATTAAACCAAGGGAGATCAGGCATTTCCAGCTTGCTCACAGTGGGCCATCTTTTAGTCTGTATTTCAGCTAACCAAGCAAATAAACTATTAGAAGCATTTTTAACTCCCTGAGCTGCAACATGAAATTCAGAGTCCCTCTTTAGTGGGCCCAAGTCGATAAAGTCAGCCTGATCCAACTCTATGTTCTTTCCACCATTGTTCCACACTCTTGATTTCCATTTCCATGCCTGTTCTCCAGATTGCTGTTTATATAAATTACAAAACTCAAGCAGTTCTTTCTGAGTGTAGTGCACCTCCTCATGGGTCACACTCTCAACCTCACCTCTAGGGGCCCGCCAAGACTTCAGTCTAGTTACAGGTCTAGGGTGTGGGGTGGTTCCTGAGGAGAATCAACATTATTTTTCCTGGCAACTGTCTCAAAGGAGGCCATCACTGTTGCCTCAGGCAGCACACGGTTTATCTCCTTAGACAAAGGTGGAAAGGCTCATGGCGGCTTGGGTCACGGAAGGGATCTCGCTACTACTAGAGATGGGGAAGCTGTGTCTTCTGGCAAAACAGGTTCATCAGAGTTTAAAAACTCAGTGTCTCCAGCTTTATCGGCGTCCTCCCACATGTCCCATTCTAAGTTGTAGGGTCCCATTCTTTCCCAGTTAATGCCCTCACTTTAACAGTAGACACCTGGCGAGGCTGTGCATGCACCTTTCATTGCAGGTCAGCCACTCACATGATAAGAGCTTGTGTCTGCTTTTCCACAATTTCAGCACTTTCTCTGCAGGAGATAAGACTATCACTCAGGGCAATCTGAGCAGATTCGAGGCTCAGTATCTGCTTCTGAAGCTGGGAAGCAGAATCCCTGAATTCATCATTTTCTTTCATCACTTTGCTCACTAAACTTAGGAGCAACCAACCAGCTTCATTATGTTCCTTGGTTCTCCACATATGGTCAAAGGTATTATGTATAGAGTCACTAAACTCCTTGCCTCTTGTGAGTAATGAATCCGGAGTGTCAAATACATTTATTTTTGCATAACTCTTTAAACAATTCACACCAAGGACTATGAGTGTTCTCCATACTATAGAAGTAGAGTCCTTAGCGTTTTTGGGGTCTAATCATATTAAGCAATCAACTCTAGAAACCCCAAACCAACGCAAGAACTCCATCCTTAATATTCTGTTCCTCTAGAACCACTCCTAGTACCAAAATTTGTATTAGCGTTTTCTAGAGGGACAGAACTAATGAAATATATATATACGTATTCTTTATACACACACACACACACACACACACACACACACACACACACACACACACGGAATTTATTAAGTATTAACTCACATAATCACAAAGTCCCATAATAGGCCTTCTGCAGGCTGAGGAGCAAGGAGAGCCAGTCTGAGTTCCAAAACTGAACTTGGAGAACTTGGAGTCCAATATTCGAGGGCAGGAAGCATCCAGCATGGAAGAAAAATGTAGGCTAGTTTCTAGGCCAGTCTTTCTTTTCACTTTCTTCTACCTGTCTTTTATTCTGGCCGTGCTAGTTAGATGGTGCCCACCCAGGTTAAGGGTGGGTCTGCTCTTCCCAGCCCACTGACTCAAATGTTAATCTCCTTTGGCAACACCCTCACAGACACATCCAGGATCAATAGTTTGTATCCTTCAATCCAATCAAGTTGACAGTATTAACAATCACAGTAGTTTTATAAATTTTATTTTATTTATTTTTTGAGACAGAGTCTCTTTCTGTTGCTCAGGCTGGAGAACAGGGGCATTATCTCTGCTCACTGCAGCCTCTGCCTCCTGGGTTCAAGTGATTCTCCTGCCTCAGTCTCCCAAGTAGCCAGGACTGCAGGCACAAGCCACCACACCTAGCTAATTTTTGTATTTGTATTTGTATTTTTTCAAGAGAATTAAATCATTTATTGATTACACATGACTATGGATGATACACAAGCTTCATTCCCATCTATAATTTTATCTGGTACCATTATTCAATTTAGATATGTTGTATAGGATTGCAATTATTTTTATAACCAGTGATTCCATGATTTTGCTTGGGTAATCCCTTTTAATGGTGAACTTCAGGTCACAACAGTAACTATCAGTTTAACGACACCAAGGTTTCTAAAGACAATGGCTTCTTCACCCAAGCAGGTTGTATGTGAATTCCAAATAGAACCTGGCATCACCCTGAAGGAATTCTAACTTCACACTGTTGAGGAAATTTACCAAGATGGCTTCGGAGTAGACTAACTTTACACAGCACATTAAAAAAAAAAAAAAAAAATTTATTCAAAATCACGATCAGACTATTACATTTAGCAATCAACAGCATGGGTGCAAAAAAAAAAAAACTACATTAAAACCATTTGTTGGAATGCTTTACACTTTCCACAGGACAGAAACTAAAATAACCTGTTATACAATTAGCCACAAATATAGTCCTCGAGTTTTTTGCCTATATACAAAAGTATTTGTCTAAAACATGTCTTCTTGTCTAAAACATGTAGCAGCTAGGCCCCACCACCACTGTGCTTGGCTGAGTACGCAAATCTCTTGTAACCCGTCGCTCCCCTGTAACTTCTCTGGCTCTCCTCTCCTGTTAAGCTTTGTTTCCTAATTGAAATCTTCTGCGACTGCCATAGCTACTGCTGCTACTGGAACTGCCATAGCTGCCTTGGTTTTGTGGTTGGGCAAAGTATTGGCCTCCACCACCACAGGGGCCTGAGCTTCTGCCTCAAGTTTCCTCCCTGCATGGTCCAAAATTTGAAGACTGATTGTTATAATTGCTAAAAGCATTGTAGCCTCCACCACCTCCAGAATTTCTTCCATCATTACCAAATCCGTTATAGCCACTGCCACCATATCCACCATCACCACAGCTGCCACCATAGCCACCATGACCACTGAAAGTTTCTCCACGACCAAAGTTGTCATTCCCACCAATACCACCTCCATGACCACCATCAAAGTTTCTGGAACCACTTGGACCTCTTTGGCTGATGAAGCACTCGCCATCTCCTGCTTTGACAGGGCTTTCCTAACTTCACAGCTATGGCCATTCACAGTATGGTATTTCTGAATGACGATCTTATCCACGGAGTCATGGTTGTCAAAGGTTACAAAGATAAAACCCCTTTTCTTGCCACTGCCTCTCTCAGTCATGACTTCAGGCACTTCAATTTTTCTATACTGTTCAAAATAATCTCTTAGGTGATGTTCTTTATGTCTTCTTTAATGCCACCAACAAATATCTTTTTCACACCTGGTCTTTGAGAATCTTCTCTTGAGACAGCTCTCCTTGTTTCCACAACTCTTGCATCCACCTTGTGTGGCCTTACATTTGTGGCTGCATCCACCTCCTCCATAGTGGCATGTGTAACAAACCCAAAGCCCCTGGAGTGCTTGGTGTTTGGATCTCTCATTACCACACAATCCCTGAGCATTCCCTATTGCTCAAAATGGCTCCTCAGCCTCTCATTGGTTGTTTCAAAGTTCAACCCTCCAACGAAGAGCTTCCTCAGCTGTTTAGGCTCTCAGGAGACTCTGACTTAGACACGATGGCAATGGGAAGAGAGACTTTAACGATACTTTTTCGGCAGTGTCAATGGGCAGAAAGACTAATTTTTGTATTTTTAGTAGAGACAAGTTTTCGCCATATTGGTGAGGTTGGTCTCAAACTCCTGACCTCAAGTGATCTGCCCGCCTCAGCCTCCCAAAGTGCTGGGATTACAGGGGTGATCCACTGTGCCCAGCCAAAATTTTAAATAATTCTGTGCATGCAACAAAGTCTGCATATGTTGAATCATCAGGAAGCAAAGGTGTCACTGCCTCAGCCACCCATGTAGAATATTTGTGATTGTTTGGCACCATCATCTTTCCTGACTCTGAACTCATCTGAAGTATGCCATATATGTAGTTGCCAACACTTGGAACACAATGACTAAAGAGATAGTTGTGCATGCCTGACACAACCTCTGCCCTGTGGTTGTGTCTATGGATGATGTTGATTGTTCTTCAAATGGTGACTTTGAAGAATTCTGTATGCCAAGCAAAAAAAAATAAAAATAAAAAAACAAATGCCTGACCTCCTTACACATGCAAAAAATATACTTACAGAGTCTGCAGTAGGCTGAAAGAAATGGATATTGAGGTTTTTGACATAAATAATGAGCCTGCAGTTATTCATTCATTGACTAATGGTGAAATAGCTGAAATGGTTCTGAATTAAAGTGTTTCAGATATTAAGTTAATCATTGATACTACTGATAAGCAATCATTTTCTTACACTTACTCTCACATAAGTACTTAATAGTAAAAAATATGACACACCATTAATAGTGAAATAACAATGTGTTCATGGTAACTAAGCAGCAGTAGCATCAGCAGAATACCTGTATCAGCTGTTCAACCAACAGTGGTAAGCTTTCAGTCTCTACTTACGATACTGAGTTTTGATTGAAAGGTTACTGTCCAATATATAGTTTTTATTTTTTTCTGTAGTTACATACCAATATATTTTATTTTATTTTTATTTTTAATTTTTTACATGAGAAGAAAGACCAGACACAGTTGAGGGATCAGGAAGTGGGTCCTCCAGGGAGGATGAGGCATTCTGCTGGATGGCTTTTAAATGTCTCCACTAGAGGCATCTGCCCCATCAACAATGGTTTTTGTCTAGAAGTCTCTCTTTGATTTTATAAGCTGACATGACTTCTCGTTCTGTTATGAATGCATGCTGCTCTGGTCCTCCATAAGCCCGTCTCATATTTTCACCATGTCATCTACAGGCACTTTTTTTGCAGTTAACATCATCATCATTGTCACTGTAATCTCAGTCACCATCAGTCAATGCATGAACAACTGGAGCCCCAGCATTGATGTCGAAAGCTTCAGTATCCACTTCTTCCAGCCTACTGACAGGTTCTGGGGGTATATATTGCATATGTAAGGGGGTCAGGCTTTTTTTGTTGTTATTGTTGTTGTTTTTTTGCTTGGCATACAGAATCCTTCAAAGTTACCACTTGTTCAGCATCATCAATAAACACAATCACAGGCTTGAGGTTGTGCCGGGCATGCACAACTATGTCTTTAGTCGTTGTGTTCTAAGTGTTGGCAACAATATATATGGCATCCTTCATGCTGCACTTTTTTTTGGAAACCTTTCACACCCACACCTCTGCTCACTGCTACTAGCATGCCATTCAAGAAAACGTTTTTATATTTAGTCTTCACTGATCCTCACAAAATGTAGTCTATGCTGGAAGAATGCTGCTGGCAGGATGATGACCTTTCACAGCTCTCCCTGGGTGTCTGCCTTCCTAGGCAGAGGAAGATATGGCTGCAACTTTTCTGAAATATTTCTGAGAGGTGTTTCTTGAATTTCTGTCCCATGAAAGCGTAGATAACAGGGTTCACACAGCAGTGAGTAAAGGAAATGATTTCTGTGACATGGGTGGCATAAATCAGCTGCTGGCTCATGACACATCCACCCAAGAGGCTCATGCTGTGCAGGGAAGTGAGGAAAAGAACTGTGTTGAATGGGACCCAGAAAAGTAAAGATGCAATGACCACAATGAGCACCAGCCTGGTGGCCTTGGTCTTGTTGTGGTTTTGACACCTCTTCAGCTGGTGCAGAATTTTAATGTAGCAGAATGTAAAGATGGTGAATGGGATCAACAAGCCTAAGATGTTCATTTCAAAGTTGGTGAAGATCTTCCACTTCAGAGTCTGTTGATTGTAAGATGAATCGCACTGTAGAACACCATCTTCAGAGGTCACTTGGTAAAACACTAGCAGTGGGATGGTAGCCATAATGGAGGTTAGCCATACTGCCAGGCTCAGGACTGTGCCTATCCTGATCGTCCTCACTTTTATGGCATACACGGCGTGGACAATGGCCAGGTACCTGTCCACACTCATGAGGGTGATGAAAAACATGCTGCTGAAGAAGCCAATGTAATAAAAGCCAGACACCACCTTGCACATTACAGTCCCAAACACCCACTCACCCAGCTGATAATAGGTCTGAAAGGGGAAGGAGAAGACAAAAAGCAGGTCAGACAGGGCCAGGTTTAAGAGGTATACGTCTGTGATACTCCTCAGCTTCTTGCACACCACGACGACCAGGATAACCAGGCTGTTTCCCAGAAGACTGAATATAAACAGGAGGCAATAAAAGACAGCAAGGAGCAACTTGCCGTTTCTCTGGATAGGTTCTCCATCGCAGGGGCTTGAGAAGCTATCAGGGTAGTAGTAGTCGGTCACTGTTGTCAGACTGGGGTCAAGTGTACAATCCATCTAGTCAGCAGGACCTGGTCACAGAGAAACATAGAAGACATTCACTCCTTAAAAACATTTTTATTTTTAAAAAATTAGGGGTATGTTATGAGCTGAATTGTGTCCTCCCCAAATTCACACATTCACAAGTGCTGAACCCCCAGTGTGAGTGTGACTATTTGGAGATAGGGCTTTTAAAGAGGTATTAAGGTTAAATGATAGGCCAGGCATGGTGGCTGATGCCTATAATCTCAGCACTTTGGGAAGCTGAGGTGGGTGGATCACCTGAGGTCAGGAGTTTGAGACCAGCCTGAACAACATGGTGAAACTCTGTCTCTGTTAAAAAAAAAAAAAAAAAAAAAAAAAATTAGCTGGGCATGGTGGTGGGTGCCTGTAATCCCAGATACTTGGGAGGCTGGGCAGGAGAATCACTTCAATCTGGGAGGCAGAGGTTGCAGTAAGCTGAGGTTGCGCCATTGCATTCCAACCTGGGCAACAAGAGCGAAACTCTGTCTTAAAAGTAAATAAATAATAAAAATTAGCCAGACGTGGTGGCAGCTGCCTGTAATCCCAGCTGCTCAGGAGGCTGAGGCAGGAGAATTGCTTAAACCCAAGAGGCAGACGTTGGAGTGAGCCGAGATCACACCACTGCACTCCAGCCTGGCTGACAGAGACTCTGTCTCAAAAAAAAAAAGGGTAAATGAAGTTTTAAACACAGGGCCCTCAATGTTGCAGTGACTTATGCCTATAATCCCCGCACTTTGGGAAGCTGAGGTAGGTGAATCACTTGAGGCCAGGAGTTTGAGACAAGCTTGGCCAACATGGCAAAATCCTGTCTCTACTAAAATTACAAAAATTAGCCAGACATGGTAGCACACACCTGTAATCCCAGCTACCACGGGAGGCCAAGGCATGAGAATTGCTTGAACCCAGGAAGCAGAGGTTGCAGCGAGCCGAGATCATGCCACTATACTCCCAGCCTGGGTGACAGAGTGAGACTCTGTCTCAAAAAAAAAGAAAACAGAAACAAAAACAAAGAAGGCAGGGCTCTAATCTGTTAGAACTAGTGTCCTTAATAGAAGAGAAAGAGACACAAGAAATTTCTCTCTCCTTGTGCACAGAAAAAGGACCATGTGAGGACACAGTATGGAGGCTGAAATCAGCAAGCTAGGTAGAGAAGCCTCACCAGAAACTAACCACGTTGGCAACAGCAAGCCAGGTAGAGAAGCCTCATCAGAAACTAACCACGTTGGCATCTTGGTCTTGGGACTTCCAGCCTCCAGAAGTATGTTAAACAACATTTTCTGTTGTTTCTATTGTATTTTGTTATGTAAACCCAAGTTAGTACAGGACAGTTAGCTGAGATGAGAAAAGCCAAAACTTACAAAGAAAATGTAAATACCTACAGTTCCATCACCCAGAATTAGCAGCTGCTAACATATTGTCACAATGCCTTGGGTTCTTTTCTTTTCCCCTTCCCTCCTTCTTTTTTTCTCCCTCCCTCCTTCCCTCTCTTCCTTTCTTCCATCCCTCTTTCCTTTTTTTCTTTCTAATGCAATAGAGATTAAGCTAATGTTCCCTTAAACTACACAACTTATCCCCATACCCAGAAACAACCACTGAAACCAATTTGGTATGTATCATTCCAAACAATTTCCCCCTGTACTTTTACATTATATATATATGTCCATAAACAATATATATTTTTGTGTGTTTACTTTTAACTTACATAAATGATATAATATTGTTTCTCCTTTTATAGTTTGGTTATTGTTTTAGAGGTGTATCTGCATAATATTCCTCCGTTTATTGTTTTAATTGCTTTCCTAAGCACCAGAAAAAATTTCTAACAGGAAAGTTATCCCAGCTATACTAGCAATGAAAATTACTAGCATTACTAGGAATAAACCTAATAAAAATGCAATTCAGTTGCATAAAAATGATAAAACTTGAAAATTCTTCTTAAATTGATATATACATTTAATGCAATTTCAATCCAGGCATATTTTCCCAAGGCCTTTATTTGCTTTGCATTCAGACATCCCTATCCACTCTGCTACCTTTCTGTAATTTGAAAGCACAAGCAAGCAAACAATTTTTTTTTTTTTTTTATGGAGACAGGGTCTCACTATGTTGCCCAAGCTGGAGTGCAGTGGCTCTTCACGGGTGTGATCACAGTGTACCATAGCCCCAAACTCCTGGCCTCAGGCAATCCTTCTGCCCCAGCCTCGAGTGGCAGGGACTACAGGCACACATCAGCAATTTCTTCAGTTATATGAAAGTTTACTTGCTGGCTTCCTTCCTTCAGAACAGTACCCAGGTGTCCTTCAGTTACCTGACAGAAGCCCTGTACCCAGCACAAGGACAGATCTTCCCAGATGCCTGGTATCAAAAAGGATCTTTTCTTACCTACCTTCCCACTCTTGGAGTTTTCACTCTTTCCCAAAGGCCTCCAGAGAGAATGGCATAGCTTGCTCCCCTCAGCCAGAGCGTGGCAGCCACTGAGACACATGCATGTTTGTGGGCTCAGAGGAAATGCAAAGATAAAAGAGTTTTTTTACCTCTTGTGCTAGACCTCTGAATTGGTGGTGTTCCCTTTGCCTATCCCCTAAAGATATAAAAATGCCCCTGCCTACTCATGCCCTTCTTCCCCAAGGATGCTTATAGCACATACCTTAGTGACAGCCTCTGTTCTAGAGGTTCCAGTGTTGCCAATTCCTTTTTCCAGGTCTGTACCCTCATGTATGAGTGCAACTCAAGGAACGGCAGCTTCTCTGGAGGCGACAGAGCAGAGAAGGCAGTCTCTCTGGAGGGCTCCGCCCTCATGAAGGTTACGGCCCTAATCCAATAGGTCTGGGGTCTTCTAGGTAGAGGACTACACACCAGAGTTAGCTTTAAAATAATAATGGGATTACAATTTCATTTTAATGTCATTTTCAATTAAAAATGTTAATGGACTATCTTTTAGAGGTTTTAAGTTTATAGAAAATCTAGGTAGATGGCCAGGCACGGTGGCTCACACCTGTAACCCCAGCACTTTGGGAGGGGATTCCTCTGTGCACTTCCCCTCGCCTCCAAGTGCACAGAGGGACGGCCATGTGAGGACACAGGGAGAAGGTGGCTGTTTGCAAGTCAGGTAAACAGGCATCATCAGGAAACAAGCATGTGGGCACCTTGGTCTTCTGGCCTCCAGAACTGTGAGTAAACACATTTCTGTTGTTTAAGCTGCCTAGCCTGTAGTATTTTGTTATGGAAGTCCTAGTAGACTAATACAGGGGTTAATGGGAATTTTCTGTGTTGTCTACCTAGATTTTCTTTTCTTTTTTTTTTTTTTTTGAGACAAAGTCTCACTCTGTTTCCCAGTTAAAGTGCAGTGGCACAATTTCGGCTCACTGCAAACTCTGCCTCCCGTGTTCAAGCGATTCTTCTGCCTCAGCCTCTCAGGTAACTGGGATTACAGGCACCCACCACCATGCCTGGCTAATTTTTTTGCATTTTTAGTAGAGATGGGGTTTTCTCCATGTTGTCCAGGGTGGTCTCAAACTCCTGACTTCGGTGATCCACCTGCCTTGGCCTCCCAAAGTGCTGGGATTACAGGTGTGAGCCACTGTGCGTAGCCATCTACCTAGATTTTCTGTAAACTTAAAACCTCTAAAAGATATTCCATTAAAAATTTTAATTGAAAATGATATTAAAATGAAATCATAATCCCATTATTATTTTTAAGTTGTATAATTTATACCAGGACTGGCTTTCCTCCATGATATGCAGCGTACACAAATGTGTGTGTATGTTGTATGTGTGTATATATATTCAAATTATAATCTTAGCAGTAATAGTTTCTATTAGAGTGATGCCATTATTCACAAATTGTTCATTGAAAATATCATAATCATTATTAGAATTTCCCTCTTTTCATCCTATGGCAACAAGAATTATAATGTAATGGCTGTTGAACATTTTCTTTAAATGAATATTAGGATGAGGGAACATTCATGCCACATCCATTCTATGTGTTAATGGTCATGCTGCCAATCACACTGCAACACATGCCACCAAAAGGGAGACCCCTGACTCAAGTCTGATCAATGAGAACTTTTCATCTCCTTGTCCACCGTGATAGGTTCAGAGAATCACACATTTTGACCTCAGAGAAGTTTGGCCTTTGAAGCTCAGAGAAATTAGGTGACATGCCTCCAGTCACCCAACTAGTAAGCTGAAAACTAGACTTCAAGTCCCATCCAAGAGATCACAATGCCCAAACTCTTAATTTCATCATTTTAAAATTGGCAAGTGTCAGGGCCTTTGGGTCACAGTATGTGTTGGGTCAAAAATGGATGTAAGATCCAGAGATTAGCTCTTTCAACAGGAATGCCCTTTGAAAATCACTTTAAGTCAGTTTTCCCTATCCCAGGAGACTGGGATGAGTCCAGAATTGTTGGAAGGAAACCACGGAAGTCCCAGAATCTCCTCATCTCCAACCCACTCATTCCTGGAGGAATGCTGTAGAAATATCTGCTGGAGGCCTGGAACAGTGGCTCACATCTGTAATTCCAGCACTTTATGGGGCTGAGGCGGGAGGATTGCTTGAGCCTGGGAGTTCAAGACCAGACTGATCAACATAGCAAGACCCCATCTGATACAGTTTGGCTCTGTGTCCCCACTCAAATCTCATCTTGAATTATAATCCTCATAATCCCCATGTGTCAAGGGCAGGACCAGGTGCAGGTAATTGGATCACGGGAGCGGTTTCTCCCATGCTGTTCCCGTGATAGTGCGTGAGTCTCATGAGATCTGATCTGATGGTTCTATAAACATCTGGCATGTCTCTGTCTGCACTTACTCCATCCTGCCAACCTGTGAAGAAGGTGCCTGCTTCTCCTTTATCTTCTGCCATGATTGTAAGTTTATTGAGGCCTCCCGAGCATTGCAGAACTATGGGTCAATTGAACCTCTTTCCTTTAAAAATTATCCAATCTCAGTCTTTCTTTATAGTAGTGTGACGATGGACTAATACATCATCTCTACAAAATGTTTTCATAAAATTAGCCAGGCTTGGTGGCATGCCCTTGTAGCCCCAGCTACTTGGGAAGCTGAAGTGGGAGGATCACTTGAGTCCAGCAGTTTGAGGTGAGCTGTGATCGCACCACTGACCTGTTTCTAAAGAAAAAATAAAAGGAAATATCTACTGGTACCTATTTATACCTTGGTAATCCCCCTCACCATCATTCATGTTTTGACGCAGTTTGGGGAAAACCCAGCTTTTTTATGAGAGTTTTTTATGTGATAAGAAAAGATCAATGGTGAGCTAATGGAGAACTCAGGGCCCTCAGGTATTGCTAGTCTGTGTCATGATGGTGGGAACTATGAGGCCTGCCTCATCAGTGTAGGCAGGAGTCGGGGAAGCAACCTTCCCCTCCAAAGCCCAGTTAAGCAAGGCTTGAGGGACTAAGGTGTAATACTCCCCAAGCCCAGTTTCTAGTGCAAGCTGATCTCAACCCCAAACACTCTATTTTCAGTTCCCAAGGATTCTTTTATCAGCTGCTCCTCCATACTTGGCACAGTGCTTAGTGCACAACAACTTCTTAATAAACAGTTGAACAGAGAGAATGCTGCAAGATGGAGATGATTTTGTATCCTGAGACTTTACTGAAGTTGCTTATCAGTTTCAGGAGATTTTGGGCTGAGACAATGGGGTCTTCTAGATATACAGTCATATCGTCTGCAAATAGAGACTGCTTTAAATGTGTCCCAGAGTTTCTGGTATGTTGTGTCTTTGTTCTCATTGGTTTCGAAGAACATCTTTATTTCTGCCTTCATTTCACTGTTTATCCAGTCAACATTTAAGAGCCAGTTGTTCAGTTTCCATGAAGCTGTGCAGTTCTGAGTTAGTTTCCGAGTTCTGAGTTCTAACTTGATTGCACTGTGGTCCGAGAGACTGTTTGTTATGATTTCCATTCTTTTGCATTTGCTGAGGAGTGATTTACTTCCAATTATGGGGTCAATTTTAGAGTAGGTGCGATGTGGTGCTGAGAATGATGTGTATTCTGTGGATTTGAGGTGGAGAGTTCTGTAAATGTCTATTATGTTTGCTTGGTCCAGGTCTGAGTTCAAGTCCTGGATATCCTTGTTAATTTGCTGTCTGGTTGATCTGTCTAATATTGACAATGGGGTGTTAAAGTCTCCCACTGTTATTGTGTGGGAGTCTAAGTCTCTTTGTAAGTCATTAAGAACTTGCCTTATATATCTGGGTGCTCCTGTATTGGGTGTGTATATATTTAGGATCGTTAGCTCTTCTTGTTGTATTGATCCTTTTACCATTATGTAATGTCCTTCTTTGTCTCTTTTGATCTTTGTTGGTTTAAAGTCTATTTTATCAGAGACGAGAATTGCAACTCATACTTTTTTTTGTTCTCCATTTGCTAGGTAAATCTTCCTCCATCCCTTTATTTTGAGCCTTTGTGTATCCTTGCATGTGAGATGGGTTTCCTGGATACAGCACACCGATGGGTTTTGGCTTTTTATCTAATTTGCCAGTCTGTGCCTTTTGATTGGGGCATTTAGCCCATTTACATTTAGGGTTAATATTGTTATGTGTGAATTTGATCCTGCCATTTTGATGCTAGCTGGCTGTTTTGCCCATTAGTTGATGCAGTTTCTTCATTGTGTTGATGCTGTTTACCCTTTGGTATATTTTTGGAGTGGCTGGTACCAGTTGTTCCTTTCTATGTTTAGTACCTCTTTCAGGAGCTCTTGTAAAGCAGCCCTGGTGGTGATGAAATCTCTGAGTACTTGTTTCTTCGCAAAGGATTTTATTTTTCCTTCACTTATGAAGCTTAGTTTGGCTGGATATGAAATTCTGGGTTCAAAGTTCTTTTCTTTAAGGATGTTGAATATTGGCCCCCACTCTCTTCTGGCTTGTAGGGTTTCTGCTGAGAGATGTGCTGTGAGTCTGATGGGCTTCCCTTTGTGGGTAACCCGACCTTTCTCTCTGGCTACCCTTAGCATTTTCTCCTTCATTTCAACCCTGATGAATCTGACAATTATGTGCCTTGGGGTTGCGCTTCTTGAGAAATATCTTTGTGGTGTTCTCTGTATTTCCTGGACTTGAATGTTTGTCTGCCTTGCTAGGTTGGGGAAGTTTTCCTGGATAATATCCTGAAGAGTATTTTCCAGCTTGGATTCATTCTCTTCGTTGCATTCAGGTACGCCTATCAAACGTAGTTTAGGTCTTTTCACATAGTCCCATATTTCTTGGAGACTTTGTTCATTCCTTTTTATCCATTTTTCTCTAATCTTGCCTTCTCGTTTTATTTCATTGAGTTGATCTTCAATCTCTGATATCCTTTCTTCTGCTTGGTCAATTCGGCTGTTGAAACTTGTGCATGCTTCGCGAAGTTCTCATGTTGTGTTTTTCAGCTCCATCAAGTCACTTATATTCCTCTCTAAGTTGTCTATTCTCATTAGCATTTCATCAAATCTTTTTTCAAGGTTCGTAGTTTCTTTGCATTGGTTTAGAACATGTTCTTTTAGCTCACAGAAGTTTCTTATTACCCACCTTCTGAAGCCTGATTCTGTGAATTCATCACACTCATTCTCTATCCAGCCTTGCTCCCTTGCTGGTGAGGAGTTGTGATCCCTTGTAGGAGGAGAGGCTTTCTGGTTTTAGGTGCTTTCATCCTTTTTGTGCTGATTTCTTCCCATCTTTGTGGATTTATCCACCTGTCATCTTTGTAGTTGTTGACTTTCAGATTGGGTCTCTCAGTGGATGTCCAGTTTGT